GGAGGGGGATGGAGGGAGTTTTACCTTGGTAGTTTTTCCCGTGACACATGAGAGACAGCTAAGTGGAGGGGGATGGAGGGAGTTTTACCTTGGTAGTTTTTCCCGTGACGCAGGAGAGACAGCTAGGGGGAGGGGGATAGCGCGAGCTTTACCTTGATAGAGTTTTCCGGGCTCGTAGAAGCGAGGGTTGTCGGCGATGCTCACCGACAGACGCATCTCTCCTCGTTCGAGCGTCGTCCGATCTGGAAGCGGTAACCATGGCGACGATTTATGAGACGTTCACGTGTTCGTGATGAATTCATACAGCTCAACTTTTCTAGCTGCTTGCCCGCGCTGTAACGCTGCTGGAGCTACCTTCTTAGCTACCTCTCGAAGCCCCATGACTGTCAAAACACTCTTTCTTAGCTTCCCTGCCGTGCTGCGACTCTGGTATACGAACCTTCCTAGCTAGCCCTCTGCACACCAACACTGGCAAAGCTATATTTGAATCTTACCTCCACCTCTGACTCTGACACTGGCAAAGCAACTTTGAATCTTACCTGCACCTCTGACTCTAACACTAGCAAAGCAACTTTGCTAGTCACATCCATGCTCCATCACAGCTGAAGCTACCTCCCTAGCTACTCATCCATGCTCCACCACAGCTGAAGCTACCTCCCTAGCTACTCATCCATGCTCCACCACAGCTGAAGCTACCTCCCTAGCTACTCATCCATACTCCATCACAGCTGAAGCTACCTCCTTAGCCAGTCTTTCATTGTTATGTGGTTTACGTTATGTACTTTCGTGGATGGGGGAGCCTCTGCAATGAGAGCCCTCGTCCAAGTCTAATTAACCCCTTCTGGGACCAGTCTGTCTTTGCATTATACAAATATAAATGAGAAAACTTTTATTAATCATATGATCAAACGCTTGCGCGGCTAGCTAATTGGGTTTATCCCTGAAGGCACTTACTACCTTGTCACGATATCCAGTGCAGTGGACACCGACAAGTATTAGAACATAACATAACAAATACCGGAGCAGTGGAATCGATGACAGACACTTACCGACATCGGCGTAGTGGCAGAGGAAAAAGAACGGAGACACGATGGGGTAGTTTCCCTGTGCATCCAACACAGACAGCCGTGCTGCCAAGAGAACTACTCCCGCAAGCCACATCGCTGCTTGCGCTCTCATTGCCACTGCATCTGGAAAAGTAGTCGCAAGCAGAGTCACCTAATCAACGCCGATGGGGTGGCAGTCGCCACGTCAGGGCAAACACGCCGACAACTTAAGGCGTTTTCCCATCAGTGCTGTAAGTAGTGGCGACTCTAGTATAGACGGCGATCAGAAAGCAAATATTTCCGCGGCGCACGGGCGTTGAACATAAATAAGATGTGACGAAATCAGTTGCACTTACCTACGCTAGCGCCTAGCAGACGTGAACGGCAATGACGCAAACGCTTCCAGAACAAACGCGACAAAACAGACGAGAGTTTCACGATATTAGTCTAGTGCGTGTATCGAAACTGGACACGATGGCAGAATAACGTGCGTTCTCTCACTCTATGTCCCAAACACTCTCTTTCTCTCGCACGCTGCAAACAAACGCAGTGGTTTTGGCCTGCAATGCCTCGTAACTGAATCCGCGCTACGCAGGGTCGCCTAGGGACCGGCACATGTTACGTCTGTCCGTTTAAACACCGGCCGCATGAGAGACGGAGCCGATAAAAACGATAGTACGACGTAAAGCGATACGCCGACGGTGGTCGGCGTGTTTCGCGGAACCCTGCTCCGGTACCAGTGTAAGCGGCCGTAAACATGTCGCCGGAGAGTGGGTTACGACAGATGACCAATTACTGGCCTGTAAACAGCGCCGGAGGTGCGCCGGGGAAACGCCATGGAAACGCTCGCCGTCGATTGAAACCACTAGCGTGGAAACAACATGGTGAGAACAAACCAATTTTCACGAGAGATTACTAAAGAAATTCCAAGCTGTTACCAGGGGAATCACTATGGGGGAAAAGTACAAGCTTCTACCGGGGGAAGCACTGGCAAAATTCCAAGCTTCTATTGGGGGAATAGCTATAGAAAATCCAAGCTTCTATTGGGGGAATAGCTATAGAAATTCCAAGCTTCTATTGGGGGAATAGCTATAGAAAATCCAAGCTTCTATTGGGGGAATAGCTATAGAAATTCCAAGCTTCTATTGTGGGAATCACTATAAAAATTCCAAGTTTTTACTAGGGATATCACTATGGAAATACCAAGATTCTACTGAAGGAATCAATAAGGAAATTCCAAGCTTCTATTTGGGGAATAACTATGGAAATTCCAAGCCTCTATTGGGGGAATCACTATAAAAAAATTCCCAAGTTTCTACTGGGGGAATCACAGTGAACATTGCAAGCTTCTAATTGGGGAATAACTAATGAAATTCCAAGCTTCTAACGTAGGAATCACTATTGATACTCCAGGCTTCTACTGGAGGAATAACTATTAGAATTCCAAGCTTCTACTGAGGGAATAAATTTGGAAATTCCAATCTTCTACTGAGGGAATCAATATGGAAATGCCAAGCCTTGGCGGCTAGTGGTGGCATCTTGTTCTTAACATCATCCTTCCATGCAGGAGCTACACAGTCACTTATTAACTACCAGATGTCAACATAGATAACATCAGAAGTTAATAAAGACAAACTTTGTCTTTATTAACTCCTGATAACATTAAAAAACAACGAGCCCGTTTCGCGAACGACGCAGATATACATAAGTCGTAAGCTATCAATAACTCTTTTATTTTTCTCGTGAAAAATATGTACAGGTCGTGCGCGCGCGTGCACGCGCGCACGACACAAATTTTGAAAGCACAAATCGGTTTACATCAATGGCAGTGTTGTTCTATCCTGATACCCTGAGCGGCAATTGCTGAGCGGCATTGATACCATTTGCTGCAACGCGTGGAAAGTCACTCGCGGCCAGGCCAACAAGCTCATGCAACGCGACTCCGCAGTTAATTTATCAAGATACGAAATCTGTATTCTTGGGTGTGCGATGGTAGGGCTGAATCGATGGAAGGACGGGAGCCACCGAGCTGGTGGGCAGGATCGGTTGTCTGCAGCCAAGAGCAAGAGTTAACATTGCCTCAACAGATGTTATAGACAACGACGCATCGTCGGCTACGCTGGCCAGCGAGTGTATATAATATGAGAGCAGCATCTGGGGTAAGTGATGCTGACGGGGTCACGCCGGTTGGGAGGCGCTGTGTGTTTAGACGGGAGAACGCGCCGGAGCGGCACACGATACACGAGCTGAGGTGGGCAGAACCGGCCTTCAAAATTTGACAAAACGATAAGTTAGAATGCGATATAAACGTTCGTGGTGAGTGAATGTAGCCTCTTCAGCTGCATTCGCGCACGAAACGTCTGCATTTACACGCAGACACACATACATAAACAGACGCGCACAAAAACTAGACTACATCCAAAAAAAAAACGCAAGATTATTACTAAACGCAAGATTAATACTAAACTGAATGTTTACACGTTTCACCTCGCCCGCTATACATTTCGTGTATACTCAATAAAAGATAATGCCGACGGTCACAGCTGCTGTTTCCTAGCTGAGAGTGGTTAAGTTCGATTTTAATTCGTAATAAATTAGTGTCACCGAGCAATCCATAAACATGTTGAACCAGACTCGCCACTGCTGCTACTGAACAAGGCTAATAATAAAACATGGATCTTTCACAGACATCATCTCTGAGGGATATGCTGCACCTCTAGACGAGAGAACTCTAGTCTCTTGTCTTTTGTCAGTGCGAACACTAGGTCGTTCTTGAACTTTATGACCTTTTCAAGTGTACTATCTAATAAATAACATGGCTACCCCATATATACAGGCAAATCATCATTAACAACAACGAGAACAACAATAATAAAACACCAGGCAGCGGGGGCACTAACAATGGGAAATGCATCTCAGCACGCGGGGGCAGGGCACGTCGTGTGCCCAGCCGCCTGCGACATTCGACAATGGCAGTGGCGCCAGCTGGTGGCCAAATATTCCGAAGAGCGATGACGGATATCCACGCATCATCCGTCTGCGTATCACAACGCGTCGCGACGGGCACCCTACGATGCAGCACCCTATGATGCAGCACCCTACGATGCAACACCCTACGATGCAGCACCCTACGATGCAGCACCCTACGATGCAACACCCTACGATGACAGCACCGTACGAGTTGCAGCACCCTTTTGTTACGATGCAACATCCCGTACCATGCAGCCAACCCTATGATGCGAACACCCTACGATGATCCACCACGTTGTGATGCAACACCCTACGATGCAGCACCCTATGATGCAACACCCTACGATGCAGCACCCTATGATGCAACACCCTACGATGCAGCACGCTATGATGCAGCACTCTATGATGCATTGCATGCACGCACGACCACCCACAACACGCGTGACATGCAACGGGCAGACACAACTTCGGAAAAAAATGACTCTCTGTGTTCTCTACCCTCTCTCTCTCTGCTCTCTATTATATACTATATATATATATATATCACGCTCACTCTCTCCACGCGCTCTCTCTCTCTCTCTCTACCCCCCTCTTCTCTATATATATATCACTCCGCACTCGCTCCTCACTCTCTCTTCCTCTCTCTTCTCTCTCTCTCTCTCTCTCTCCCTTCTCTCTGCTCTCTACTCTCTCTCTCTCTCTCCTCTCTCCTCTCTCTCTCCCTCTCTCTCTCTCTCTCTCTCTCTCTTCTCTCTCTCCTTCTCTCTCCATCTGCTACGCTTCTCTCTCTCTCTCTACATCTCTCCTCACTTCTCTCTCATCTGCTCTCTCTCTCTCTCTCTCTCCTCTTCTCTTCTCTCTTCTCTCTCTCTTACTCTCTCTCTCTCTCTCTACTTCCGCTCTCTCTCTCTCTCTCTCTCTCTCTCTTCTCTCTCTCTCTCTCTCTTCTCTCTACTCTCTCCACGCTCACTCTCCTTCTCTCCTCTTCTCTCTACATACTCTCTCTCACTCTCTCTTCATCTCTCTCTCTCTCTCTCTCTGTCATTCCTCTCTCTCTCTTTCTCTCTCTCTCTCTCTGCTCTCTCTCTCTCTCTCTCTCATCCTCTCTCTTCTCTCTCTCTCTATACTTCTCTCTCCTCTCTCTCTCTCCTCTCTCTCTCTCTATCACTCTTCTCTCTCATCTCTCTCTCTCTCTCTCTCCCTCTCTCTTTCTCTCTCTACTCTCTCTCTCTTCTCTCTCTCATCTCTCTCTCTCTCTCTCTCTCTCTCTCTCTCTCTCTTCTCCTCTCCTCTCTCTCTCTCTCTCTCTTCTCTCTCTCTCTTCTCTCTCTCTCTCCTCTCCTCTCTCTCTCCCTCTCTCTCTCTCTCTCTCTCTCTCTCTCTCTCTCTCTCTCTCTCTCTCTCTCTCTCTCTCTCTCTCTCTCTCTCTCTCTCTCTCTCTCTCTCTCTCTCTCTCTCTCTCTCTCTCTCTCTCTCTCTCTCTCTTCTCTCTCCTCTCTCCTCTACTCTCTCTCTCTCTACTCTTCCCCTCTTCTCAATTCTCTCTACGCTCTCTCTCTCTCTCTCTCTCTCTCTCCTTCCTTCTCATATACATATCTTTCCACGCTCACTCTCTCTCTCGTCTCGATCTACATAATCTCTCACGCTCCACTTTCTCTCTCCCCTACATATCTTCTCCACGCTCACTTCTCTCTCTCTCTCTCTTCTCCCCTCTCTTCTCTATATATATTATCTTGCTTACGCTCACTCTCTTCTCTCTAATCTTCTCACGGCTCTCTCTACTCTCGCTCTCTCTCTCTTCTCTCTCTCTCTCTCTCTCTCATCTCTCTCTCTCTCTTCTCCCTCTCTCCCGGCTCTCTCTCTCTCTCTCGTCTCTCTCTCTCTCTCCTCTCTCTCTCTCTCTCTCTCTACCTCATCCTCTCCTCTCTCTCTCTTCTCTCTCTCTCTACTCTCTCTCTCTTCCCTCTCTACCTCTCCCCTCTCTCCGCCTCCTCTCTCTCTCTCTCTCTCTCTCTTTTCTATCTCTCTCTCTCTCTCGTCTCTCTCCTCTCTCTCTCTCCCCCCTCTTCTCTATATATATCTCTTACGCGCTCTCTCTCTCTCTCTCTCACTCTCACTATCTCCTCACACCCTTCTTCAACGCACGCGAACTGGTTGCGGCACCGACGGGCCCCACGCGATTACACGCCTTCATTATACAGTAGACTGACCTTTATCCTCGTGCTCACCTCACTAACACAAGTTCATTAAACTAAGCGTACGCATTAGTCAAGAAAAAAACAATGAAGATGAATACTGAAGTTATCTGAGGTAATGGGAAATTGTTGCTGAGGACAGTGAGTAACGCCACCTATGTACGCCTCGCGAAACTGGAGGATCGGCAAGATGTGCTAAGTGGTAGCTTCATCTTTCAATTGAAACAATTTGCTGTCTCTATATATTGAACCCAGACCAGCTGATCTCGTGCGAGAATCAGGCGGCACTGACAATCTAACTAAATACGACTGAAATGCATCACATTCGTGCTTCGTATAAAACTACCTACCGAAAACACAAAAGTTCCCTTCATCACTCTGTCTCTCTCTCTCTCTCTCTCACACACACACACACACACGCACACACGCACGCGTGCAGGCACGCACAAACATGCACACACAGATAGCAAGACATTTACACTTGGTCTCACTTTTATTGTACATTGTTCGGTCTCACGAACATTAAAACCTACATAAACGTCGACCTTGCGACAAGAAACAATCGAACATTAGCCAGATTGTACCTTCTTTTTTTTTTACAAAAAATGGCAGTAGTCTTCGTATCACACGAAACATGCTAATCGTAATTTCACTCAAATTATGAAAAATTTAAATGTTAAAGCGATAAAGATGTCTGATACCCTAGAGCCCGTCACGCTAAGGCCGGGCGAAACGCATTGGTATGGTCGCCAAGGCAATTCCCTCGTCTACGATGCCTCCTGTGGATGCAGTTGCTATGACGATGCTCTGATGCTGCTTGTACTGTGATACTTCCCGTTGATGCGGTCGCCACGGGCGATTTCCTGGTCACCTTGAGAGCAGATGCCTCTTTGACAAGATCTGCGTCGCGGAGACCACCTCACCTCATCAGCTTGCTCTCATTGGTAAAAACATCTACCAGGGTACCCTTGATCACACACGTCCTTGTTCGTCCGAATACCACAGCACGGCGCAGACTGATCACGGTAGCGAGGGCACCCGCCACGACAACAACACCATGCAACTACCGCCGCCGCCGCCACCGCCGCGCGACACCCACCAGAGATGCCAACACGTTTTTGAAGCAATCTGTAGTTTCTGGCTTTCAAATTAGTAGTTCGAGATGACCCGAGTTTGCTATGGGGGTCCGGCATGCCCCGCGAAAAAAATTTTGATTCTGAGATGCAATTTCCTGCATTCTGAGGGTCAAAAATGACAATAAATTGACAAAAAATGACAATAATAAAAATAAAATTTTTTTTTCTATCACAGTGAAATTCGTAGTTTGATACAAACTGGCCGTAGTGGTGCAAAAGGAATAGAAATTCGTATAAAATACGGATAAATCGTAGTGGTTGGCATCTCTGCACCCACCCACTCTCGTCGCAGCGAACAAATACGACGATCGAACGAAGATGTGCGTCACACGGCGGCTGCTGCTCTGCGGTAAACAAACTTTTTTTCAGAAAGTTGAGACACGGAACGAAAATCGGGAATGGGAAACAGTCTTCGCTTCATCGTGGACAGCGATCGCGACGTACTTATATCTATGGCAGTGGTTTGACGTCTGCGTCAGCGAAGGGTAAAAGAATCATTTCGGACGCTCAACACGCAAATCCGTTTCATGCTATATACTTCCGCGCTTCATACGAGTTGGTACTAAAAACACTGTATAATTCCACTACATCACCAAGGTGTCATCACCGTTATCAAAGTATTACTACAGGTAAACAAAATGGCGTTATGGCAGTAGGCTTGCTTAACCTGTTGGTTCATTTGGGAAATTGTGAGCAAATATTCTTCCCCGACGGTCACCGTTAGTCGTTGGAATGTCGTCCGTCCAGAATGGACTGACAGACACAAATTGTCTAAGTGTACTTCGGGTGGGTCTGACCCCCCCCCCCACCCCAAAGGACCGACGGACCTAACCAGGCACCGTCAAGCAGCTAATTCACCCATCTAACTGTAACAGTTACAGCTTTGAGAGCCGAGCCCACGCGAGCCGACACGCTACGGGTTGGTCGGTTGCTATGGTGATGCTCTCCGTTTGTGCTGGGCGAATCGGCGCAGTTCGAGTTCCATCTCCTGAAATACGGGCAAATAGCTAAATTAAAGAAATGCATAAACGGATGAAGCGAACAGCCAACTTAGCACTAAATGTAAATAGAAGTCTATAACTAATAAATACCTAAACCAATCACCCAAATACTATGAACGCAAATATATCCGAAACTTATGATTTCATTTCAGCCCCAATCCAGATGCAATCCTCAATAGCCTCCTTTTTCTAATAAAGTGATCATCACCAACAATCTTTTTAATGTAAAACTCAAAGAAAAGTATGAACTGAATTATTGTCGCCTATGAGTATGGTTCCTGTTCCCTTCAGCATATCTAACGTCAGCACCTTTGTGGGGTCTGTATACACTCTCACCTCGCTAAGTATGGTCTTATCGTGGTCTTTCCTGTGTTTGTACACGCACTGGCCGAGGACCACGTGCAATCGCTCCAGAGACTCGACGTTGCAGTGTTCCGTAGCCACGACTATGCTCTCCAACAAAGCCTGCAGCAATGCATCGTGACACACGTATGATCATGAGAACAGCACAGGGTGCGAAATTAATGAGAGTCCGGAGTCAAATACTCCTTGATTTACTGTCGGACTCCCTGATTTGACATATGCAGGAGTCCGTGTGACTCCCTAAAAATTCTGCCATACTATACTAACTAGTTCGTTCCAGAGCACGGTCTCGCGGAATTACCGTATTTTTTCAGCAAATGTCCAAAGAAAATTTGGCAGATGTGTAACCGCATGAATCTTCAAAATAAGCACGCGTTATTCTGTTATTGTTAATATCTTTAATTTTGAACTTCAGACTGCAGACTCCATCCTTTTGCTACGGACTCCCTCTTTTTAAAGATAGGGAGTCCGTTGGACTCCCGTGTTCAAAAGTTAATTTCTACCCCTGACAGCACGTCTGTTGTTACTAACACTCATCGTGCTGAACCAACTATTCATTATGATTTAGTCGCTACCGCTAAGATGAATTATAATGTGTATTATTATTATGTTATTATGTGTTTATTATGAGTATTGTAACAGTTGTTACATAATTTTTGTAATTAACACAGGTTTCTCCCCAGGCCTTTAATGCATGTCGCGTCCGACATGCCTTCAAAGATGAAGGTATTTCAGTATTTTGTGACATCTCGCAAACCATCCAACATGCACCAATTGCCTAACTGACGTGTCAAAATTTCGAGCTGTGTTTTGACAATCCCAACACTGCCATGTTGCGTTTTCACAGCTTGATGTATGTCTTAATAATTATCATTTCTTTTCAACCATTTCCTGCACATTAGTTGGCAATAAACCGATCAAAAACGACAGTTTATTCATTTTTTCTAAATCCACATATCCCCCAGTTTTTTCCACCATCTGTCATAAACTACATGGCTTCTGAAAGGGAGAACCCTGTGACAGAATAATGGTTTAAACGCACTAACAACTACTTGCCACAACAAATAAACAAATCATACACTTACATAATATTGGCTCACCATTATATGTTATAGGTTATAGTTATAAGCGCATGAAACACATAGAGCAGTAATAGATCTACAGCCCATAAAAACCGTCCTGGCCTCCGCCTCACACACGTTCACTTATACATTAATACTCGGACCGTATTTAATTTAGTTACAGATATCTCCCTTCCTCTGCTTCTCACCTGGAGGCGGTCCTGGTCAACAATGAGAGGCTGAGTCGGTTCGCTAAGGATCTCCCGCGCCCTGAGGATGTGTGGATCGCTGGCCAACGCTCGCGTTACCCTGATCGACACCGGCGTATCTACGCAGAAAGCACAATCATTAGCATCTCTCGTCTGCTACTCTTGTCACCTACTGCCATCTGGTGACAAGCTCGAACAACAATCTTCATTCGGGCCTGCTAGCTAAATCAAGCAGTTATCGAAACTGCAGCCAATTGGTTAATTTTACGTGGACTTATTATAAAATAACAAATAATGTGAATATCACTCTTGCCAATCCCACTTTTTATTGCATGTATTTACATGTAATCATCTGTGCCTCTACACATTCAAGCCTCTGAAGCCTAAAAAAAGACGTTTGTTTCCGCTAACCCGTCCGAGTCTATGTTAAACCGCCGTGTCGAAACTTTTTATTGTGATCGGCCAAAAGAAAATATAAAAAAACATTTTTTTTAAATATTTTAAATAAAAAAAATCCCAACGTGATATCGATCGGTGAATGCATTGAAACACTGATTTGACTTTGAAGTCATTATATGGGCTGTTATAAGTATAAAACAAGTATTGTTAGAATACAAAAAAAAGTTTTGCCTGCCTACCGTGTCCAATTTTTTTCTGCTCATTAGCGGAAACAAACGTTTTTTTTTAGGCCTGAGCATACAGAACAGCAGCATCTAGCACTCACTTATTAATATTTTCTGTATTAGCAGGAATTCAACAGCAAACAAGATTCAAAACCGAAATTACGGTTTCAAGACCACTAGAGTTGCAGGCACTGTGATCTGGCATAAAACCTGACTGCACAATACGCGTCGTACCCCCTGCAATCATGTCTCTCATCTTCTTCTCCTCTCTTTCCATCATTTTGTTCCCCAATTTCTCTTCTGATTTTCTTTCTGATTTTTTTGTTCTTTTTCGATCTGATTTGCCCGCGCAGGAGAACCCGACTGACCTTTGCGAGGATCCGAGGAGCTGGGACACGTTTCCTGAGGCGGGCTTCCCTGCTGCACAGCTTTCCTTGGCATCTCCATGAGGACCACCTCTTCCTCCTGGCTCTCCTCGGCCTCGATGTTTCCACCGCTCCCCACCGGCCCGCTGCACTCGATCCCGGGCGACCTTGAGCGAGATCGCTCAAGCGAAGGTCGCGGGGAGGTCACTGGGTCGGCGACGGCCAGGTGACCCGGGGACACGGGGCACTCCTCGATCGCCGTCATTCGCTCAAAGATGTTGTCCTTGTCGTAGCGTTTCAGGGAAACCTGAGAAGCCAGGGGAGTAACGTTAATTGAAGCGGGCGATGCTGCTGCTGGCCTCGAGGCAATGACATGCTGTGCGTTGAAGATGACAATACGCAACTACGAGCGCAGTTTCTAACGTTAGATGCGCGCGCACGCACGCACGCAGTCACATGCACGCACACACGCTCACGACAAACAGTCACACAGTTCCTTATTGAATACTTGCGTAGTATGGCAGCACTCGATTTACACATTCCACCGGAATTCGGTACGACAACAAAATCACGTACTGCAACATAATCAGGCGGCGACAAAGGAATTACACACGACCGCGCGTACTCACGGACCGCAACACCACCGTCAACGTCCGACGAGAAAAACCGCGCAGCGAGCGTCTCACCTGGTCCTCCTGCGCAGCGCCACCTGCGTCCTCCTCCGCCGTCGTCGCCGCGTCCGTGGCAGTCGTGACTTCGGCGGCGGCGGCTGTGGGCTCGGCTGCTTTGTCGTGTGCATACTCGGCATCTTCCTTGACGGAGGAGTGCTGTGCGGCGGAGGCGGCGCGGGGGCGCGCGGCGTACGTGATGCCCGAGAGGAAGGAGTAGCGCATCGAGCGACGCGGCTTCGGCCGACACCAGACGTTGACGCGCTTGCGCTTGGCGAGGTAGTCGACGTTGCGCATGCGTGACACGGGCGTCGAGTGCTGCTGATGTTGCTGCTGTTGTTGTTGTTGTGGTCTAGTCTCCTGCAATGATGAATGATGGGGTGTAAGACATAGCGTTAGCATGAAACAGGCTGGGCGCCAAGTGCTGCGGCTGCTGCTGCTGCTGTTGTGGTCTAGGCTCCTGCAATGATGAATAATCTTTTTTTTTCAATGGGGTGTAAGAGCTATGACCTGACATCGCTATAACGTAGGATTCGTGGTTCACCAGGCGACAGCGCAGTCTCGCTTGCGACGTCAGCAAACGACCGAGTCATCCGGGCGTCGACCGTTTGAACATTTGAGAACAACAAGGAGGAAATCTACTAGCACTCCGCACCGCCGGTGTGCGCTCGTACCTTGTCACCGATCGTCGCAGGTCTGTGCTGCGCCGTGCACGGCTCAGTGGCCTGCGCATCATCATCCACCGCAGCAGGTGGTTCCGTCTTCACGCCAAGCAACGCGCGTTCTTGCTTCGTCTCTGCCGCCGTTGCGTCGACAGCCTTCTTGGACGAGGCTTGTCGCTCCTCCAGGTCTGCGGCGTCCATGCCACGCACGCGGCGGCTGTAGCGCGTCGGATACGCATCGCCGGCGCACTCTGTACTGTTCGGCGGCATCACCCGGTAGAAATTAGGCGCATTCTTTGTTGGCGTCTCACCTGCCGACGTAGAGGGTAGACTAGAGGATTTGTCTGAGCTACGTCTAGAGCAAAACATTTCTACTGGAACTTCACGCAACTCCTTTTTCTATAGCCGCGAGATAATAGACGAAAAAAATCGCGGTGCCTCGTATCGTCCAATCAACAATTAGGTCGAGTGTAGTGTAGTGACCTGAGAAGAACAATCACGTGACTTCTTTTTAGGCGTTGTATTTGTATAATTTACAATTGATTAACAAAATAATTACATTACGCTCCATTACATTTCAATACGTTACAATAAGACATCATGAACAACAGATACTCCAGCGCTTTTGCACACGACCTTCCTTATTTTTCCTGTATCACAATTAAAAGGTCACCTTCTCTGTCGAACGCTTACCTCTGCTCTTGCGCGACTCGATGATTCGCTCGCAGATCCTCTCAAACTCCGGGTCGAGCTCGGCCTCAATGATCGCATTTGCCGTGTCGCGCAGCATGCACGCGCGGTGTCGAATCAGCCGATCTACAGCGCCGAGCAAAAAACAACAATAGAACATCGGTGATGGATTGCAAGTGAGACCTCACAGTTAAGGTTGTCATGATGCGAAACTTTAACGAATATTAATTATTATTATTATTATTATTATTATCATATATTATAAACATTAATTAATAAATATTATTTAATTAGTACCAATGGCGCCACGTGCTCGCTGGTTATACGGTGATGCGTTAATTAAATAGTATTGTGCACGCAGACAATGCAACAGCCATACGTTTATTATTCATGTATATACAGAGTGCGAAGTCAAATACTCCACGATTTACTGTCGGACTCCCTAATTTTATATATGCAGGAGTCTGTGCGACTCCCTGAAAATTCTGCTACACTAACTAGTTCGTTCCAGAGCACGGCCTCGCGGAATTACCGTATTTTTTTAGCAAATCTCCCAAGAAAATTTGGCAGACGTGCACCGCAAATGTCCTTTTTGTTCATATTTTTAGTTTTGGACTTCAGACTGCGAACTCCCTCATTTTGCTACGGACTCCCTCTTTTTGAAGGTAGGGAGTCCGTCGGACTCGCTTTTTTTAAGTAAATTTCTATCCCCGTATATACATTACTAGATCTACACACACGCAGCGACTTACCGCTGGGATCGCGGTCAGGGTTGTACTCGAGCGCGTTGGTGACGATGAGGTTGACGTCATCCATGAACTCCTGGACCGTCTGGAAGCGATGCGTGTCGATCTTAGACATCATGTTCTGCAGGTCCATCGGGTTCCTGATCACATCCATGTAGTCCGGCACCTGTTGCACGCACGCGCACGCGTACGATTAAACGGCAGTTCATATATTATTCAAGTATTATCATTTATTTATTACACTTTATTTAATTGCTTAATGATATTTAATAACGTCATCCATCGATAAAACACTTGTGCTAGCAGCAGCTCGGAAAGACGTGCTGCGCACAAGTCTGTGAGATTTCCCGTGAATCTGATGTTTTATTTCCATGAAGGATATGACAAGCTCCTGCTCCACTCAACCTCTAGATAAATTACATGTCCCACCTCATTTCACCTAATATGACTTTTTAATTTTAGAAATGCACTGCAACGCGTACTTGCTATATAAGTATGGGAAAGGACACAAGCTGTTTAAACACAATTTACCTAAAACCGTATGTCCAACGCAGCCGCAACAACTTTGTAACCAATGCAACCCACAACAACATTGTAACCAACGCAACCCGCAAAAACTTCGTAACCAATGCAACCCACAAAAACTTCATAACCAATACAACCCGCAAAAACGTCATAACCGATGCAACTTTCAAAATGTCGTAACCAATGCGACCTGCAAAAATGTAGTAACCAACGCAATCCACAAAAACGTTGTAACCAATGCAAACAGCAAAAACGTCGTAACCAATGCAACCCGCAAATCTGTCGTAACCAACACAACCCGCAAAAACGTCGTAACCAACGCAGCCCGCAAAAACATTCGTCACAAACACGACAAAGTTCGCGTCTCCGACGCGACACGCCGCAATTACGTTACAACGCCGACCCCCGCCAGGGGGCGCCGACAGCCTGCCTCACCTCCTCGATATCGACGGGCTTTGTGAAGATGAGGAAGCGACGGTCGCGGGCGAGCTTGTTGAGTATGTCGCGTAGGAAGAGCCGCAGCTCTCTCATCGTGCTTTCCTCCTCCTGACGCACCCTCTTCAACTCCACCTCGGTGAGCGTGCGCGGCGCGGGCGGGGGAGCCACCTGCAGCACCTCCAGCGCTCGCTTCGCTGCGTAGAGACGAGAGTAAAGCTCTAGTGATACCTAGCATTCTTCATGTTTATTTGTTTGTGGAAGAGGTGCTTCACATACTTGTATTACTCATATTTATTAGTTTGCGGAAGATGGGCTTCACATACCTGAATTCATATTTATTAGTTTGGGCTTTGGGGAGAGGTGCTTTAGATAGCTGTATTGTTATTTATTTGTTTGGGAAAGATGTGCTTCACATACCCAAGTTCTTCTTATTTATTAGTTTGGGGAGAGGTGCTTAACATACAGTACTTGTATTTTTCCTTCCAGGCAGATGTGGGATGCATCACCAATCTATGGATCTTGTGGGGGACAGGAGGGTGTGACACAGGAGAGGGGAGACATTGCATGCCTGCGTACATTCTTCCTCTTGGAGGGGGGGGAGGTTATGGTGGGGGAGAGGGGTGTTACGTACCTGCATTCTTCCTTCTAGGGGGCGCTGCAGCAGCCTGGACGATGATCAAGTCGGAGAAGAAGGCGTGGCGCTCGACAGCGTTTGGATCCTGCATCCTCACGACCTCATGCCGGTACATGTCAAACAGCTCCCGCACCTGCGCATGTACGTCATAATGTCACATGTCACAATGTCACACAGCTCAGCTCCCGCACCTGCGCATGTACGTCATAATGTCACATGTCACAATGTCACACATCTCCCGCACCTGCGCATGTCACAATGCCAGAAATCCACCATGGGATTATATAATTATAATAATGATTATAACCGATTAGTGTTGCACAGGGACAGGGGAGCACTGACAATCGTGACCACTCGCGCATTTTCAAGACCTACACAGCCAAAAGTCTCCACTATGCATGCCACACTTCACAAACTTCCAACCGCTAAACTTTTGCTAATCGACACAACTCGCTGCTACGCAACGGCTCAAACCCACCGAACGTCGCAACGTCCGATTCGCAAGGCCGTCGCCGGCCGCCGCCAAAAACAAGAGAGCGTGCGTCGCCACGTACCTCCGGCTGCAGCTGTTGTTCGTCGTCGGTGGTCGCGAGCAGCAGCACGGGGGCGCTGGGTTCAAGGTCGGCGAGCAGGGTCAGGAAGGTCGCTCGTAGCGTGTCCGAGATCACATCCCACCACTTCTCGACCTGCGGCAGGTAGACGACGCTGGGGCAGGTGCAGCGCGCCTCCCGGAATATCTGAAACAACGACGCACGAAGGAGTCACAATGTCACACAGCTCAGCACCCGCACCTGCGCATGTACGTCATAATGTCACATGTCACAATGTCACACATCTGCCGCACCTGCGCATGTCACAATGCCAGAAATCCACCATGGGATTATATAATTATAATAATGATTATAACCGATTAGTGTTGCACAGGGACAGGGGAGCACTGACAATCGTGACCACTCGCGCATTTTCAAGACCTACACAGCCAAAAGTCTCCACTATGCATGCCACACTTCACAAACTTCCAACCGCTAAACTTTTGCTAATCGACACAACTCGCTGCTACGCAACGGCTCAAACCCACCGAACGTCGCAACGTCCGATTCGCAAGGCCGTCGCCGGCCGCCGCCAAAAACAAGAGAGCGTGCGTCGCCACGTACCTCCGGCTGCAGCTGTTGTTCGTCGTCGGTGGTCGCGAGCAGCAGCACGGGGGCGCTGGGTTCAAGGTCGGCGAGCAGGGTCAGGAAGGTCGCTCGTAGCGTGTCCGAGATCACGTCCCACCACTTCTCGACCTGCGGCAGGTAGATGACGCTGGGGCAGGTGCAGCGCGCCTCCCGGAATATCTGAAACAACGACGTACGAAGGGGTGATTGAATAATTTCATCGGATCTCTATAGTTCACATAAAAATAATGCTTATCTCAGTTAGATCCATAATAAGTAATTATAACTTGTTACGGATCTAACTGAGATAAGCTTTATTTTTATGGATGAGGGGGTGTTAGCACAGTGGGCATCCCCAAAAGATCCCTCTATTAATTAATAGTAGATATGCTCCTAAACGAGCTACTGACATATCTAACAAAATCTTGGCAGATCAATGCGTATAGATATGCCAACACTTCTATGAACTTATTGTTATTGTTGTTGTTGTCAAAACCTGCAGCGTACTTTAAAAAAATACTTTTCCGAGTTTATTTAAAAAAAATGTAATCGTTCACTGTACACTGTCCAACGTATTAGATTTGGGATAGCTAGAAATAATTTCTCATGTCTGACATGACCTTTATTTTGAATGGATAATGCATGTTGACAGCTACTAAATCCCTCACAACTATTACGCGTACAATTTCTATTGACTGCCTACATCCCTTCACCATCGAAACGATACGTCAAGTTACTTCCCAGCCCTGTAAGCACCGTTTTTGTCGGCACTTTTGATTACTCTCTCTGACGTCATGTAGGCAGTCATGCCCTGCGTATACCCCACCCCACACGCGCACGCACGCACGCACGCACGCACGCACACACACACACACGCACCACCCTTCTCAGTGAAGGTCGGTTAGAGGTCGCGTGCGCGGCTGGTCGTACCTGTGTGCAGCTTTCCTCGGCGGATTTGGCACTGACTCCGTAGAGCGTCTGCAGGTCTATGCGATGGACGGGCACACGCTCCATGCAGTGGAGCACGGCCGGCGCGAGATGCGACGTGTGGCCGTCACCCAGCCGCCCGGCCAGCAGCAGCCGCGGCCGGTGGGTTGGCGGGAAGCGTGAGCTGTCGAGGAAGGCACGAGATACGAGAGATATAGCGACAGTGATTTTCCGTTTCAAAAAATTGCCTTTTCCGTTTGGGAAAATCATGAATTTCGTTCCAAAGTAAAGAAAAAATGGAAATTCCGTTTTGCCATAGAGATTGTACACACCAAAAATGCAAAATTCCGTTTACATATATTTGCATGAAAAAAAAAGGTATTTGGTACAGCCTTTCAAACAGGAACCGGCACCGAAACACAGGGCTACCAAAAGTCGTAATTGTAAGTCATTTCGCTCTGAAACTTGTCTGAATTACCAATGCATTACCAATGCTATTGTCGACTGTTTTTTGTGATTTTATTGAAATTTCCATGTTGTAATATGTTCAAATTACGTTTTCCGCGTTTTTCCGTTTGAAAACATCTTTTCCGTTTCCAATGGCCGTTTCCGTGTTTTCGTTCCTTTTTCTGCGATCGCGGAAAATCAGTCCCTAGAGATACGTTCACAGCAGGCCACAGTGCGAAGGACATTATATTCAGACAGGACACAAAACTGTTTCCAAGGGAGAGCAAGAAAGCAGGAGCGTACCTAGAGCAGGATCGTGCATGGACCAAGTGCATATCTAGAGCAGGTGGACAGCTAAGCCAGGTGCGTATCTAGAGCAGGGGCCCGTTGCCAGAAACAAAATTGATCTTAACATTAGTTTTAACATTAACTTTTTCTCTTAGACCGTTGACAGAAATGCTGCGAAGTTATGAGAATGAAAAATCGTAGCAGATTTCCTCATAACAATACGAAACAAAGTGATGTCGACGGTCTAGGAGAAATTGTTAATGTTAAGACTAATGTTAAGACTAATTTTGTTTCTGACAACAGGCCCCTGATTCATATCTAGAGCAGGTGGACAGCTAAGCCAGGTGCGTATCTAGAGCAGGAGCGTACATGGACCAGGAGCACATCTAAAGCGTAACTGGAGAGAAGCAGCGTACCTGGTGAAGCAAAACGACCCTGACTGCAGCTTTGGACCATTCTTGAACGTGCATCCGGGTTTTGCGGTGGCAAAGATGCTAACGCCCTCATCCTCGCTATCCTCCTCAAACAGATCTACGACGCTGCCACTGCAATCCTCTGCTGCGTAGTAACGAGATTAGAATCGTTAATGAGAAAAGTAATTAGTTAATGAGGAAGCGTTAATAATCGTTAGTGAGCAAAATCGGCACCCGAGCGACACGCCATTCGCGAACAATATGCCCATTCTGTTGTTCACTTCATCTCAGGTGGGGAGTAACACGGTCACACCTGACACGGTAACGTGGGAGCTTCAGCGTGAAGGTTCGTACACCTAATACAAAACATTTTTCAATGACCCAAACACAATAACGACTTGTCTCACGACTTTCCAGACCTGGAAGACGGCATTTTAAAAATGCCCGAAATCTACTAAGAAGTTTTCAAGGTAATCGAAGAATTTCGAAAGTTTTCAAAAAGCTCGAAGTTTTCGAAGACCTCGGAGGTTTTCGAAAACCCACACAAACTCCCGGTTGCACGGGCATTTTGGGGGAAGCTTCCTTCCTTCCTTCCTTCCTACCTTGCGGCATGTCAACGCTGGAGGCGTGAGAGAGCACGGAGGGGAAGGAGAGGTGCAGCAGCTTCATGACGCGCTGCAGCGTGTTGTGCAGTAGCGGGCGTATCGTCGCTGACAGCGCCCGGCCCGGCGACACCACCGATCGCTGAGACGTTGGCACAATCACCTGCGACACAAAGCCACGTTATCGCCACGGTGACGGACAGCGGGGAAACAGCCGAGAGAGACGAGCGAGCTATTTTCACTACATACAATTATAACTTAGTACCACTTAATTACAATACTTGTATACCTTAAATAAATGCTACGCACAATCTTACGATTGATGAATTACTAGACAGTATATTATCGACCACCAACATAGAATCACGTAAAGACCTCGAAATGCTATACATTATTTGAAAAATAACCATTCCCACACAGCACAATTTTTCGTCCCTGTGTTGCGCATTGACAGGCATACTTCCCTGAAGGAAAACACTGCCAACACGACGCGAGGGGAGTACAACTGTAAGCACACCTGCATGGCGTCGTGGAAATTTTTTGCCGAGATGTTGATGGATGATACATCGAGCTGCAGCTTTTCCTTGGAAGTGTAGATCTGTGGGTAGCGTCGCCGCAGTGCAAGCAGCGCAGCCTCCGTGATCAACGCCGTTACGTCCGCACCGCAGTATCCTGTAACCACGGCAACCGCAGCCCGTCTTACACCCGCGCTACGCTCGTAATCCAATTCACGATACTCTTCTCGCTGCGTGATTGTGAAATCACTAACATGCCTCCGTACGTGAAAGAAGTTCGATTCATTATTTAAGAGCGATCAGAAATAATACTGGATTGGCCTCGAAAGAAGCTCTGGTCGAGGTGTTGTGTGTTAACATCTCATGACATTTTATTACTTACACCATTTAATCAAGTTAATTGCTTGGTAGGTAGCAGGACAGCCTTGGATTACACTATGCGCTGGACCATCATCATCCACCTCTACTTACCAACTGTGTGCTTTGCCATCTCTGAGAGAAATGCATCACTGAGCGGCGGGTTCCAATTTTTCGTGTGAATCTTGATTATACTTCGTCGAGCCTAAAATTGGGGACATCGATTTTTATCGAGTTGTTTCGGTAAACAAACAGCTACCACAAAACAAGCAGATATGTTCTGCTGGCATGAAGGTGCATCTAATCCGCCTAACCGTAGCTGTACTCTCTGCCCAACATGTGAGCAACAACAGAGTAAGTCTGAAGGTGATCGCATTTCACGACCTCTACGCATGCAGAGATGAGAATGGCCCCGGACGAAATCCGCGAGATATATTTCCACTTACTGGTGGAATAGCCCAAAGCGCTCCCCCAGAAAAACATTTTTAATTAGATGCTTGCAGATGCGTTCCGAGGCACACAAATTTCGAAAACTAGCTTGTTCATGAATGCCGCCATTGCGCGCGCATTGCCGCACAGTGCGCGAATGAATAGTACATTTGTCGGCCACGGGATGGCGAGTTCAGGCGGTAAACAAAAGAGCATCACTAGCCGCGGGACATTTTCCCACCGCGAGTGGCAGTACACACCCCCACCCTACAGTTTCCTCAACGGATTTGAACGATTTGGAAAATCGATAATTTATTCGAAAGGGAAAAACGCGAGAAACCGCAAATCTGCGGGAGATTCTCATCTAAGAAAATTCTCTCTAGAATCCGCCTAACCATGGCTGTACTCACTGCTCAACATGTGAGCAACCAACAGTGAGTAAGTCTGAAGGTGATCGCATTTCACGAGCTCTACGCATGCAGAACGCGCGCGCGTGCGCGACAGACACACGCACCTCCTCGGAAGGCAGCGGGAAGAGGAACTCGCGGTCGAAGCGGCCGGGCCGGCGGAGCGCGGGGTCGATAGAATCGATGCGATTCGTCGCGCCGATGATGACGATCTCGCCGCGGCCGTCGAGGCCGTCCATGAGGGCGAGCAGCGTCGACACGATCGAGCTGTGGATCTGATCCTGCCGGCTCGAGCGCACCGGCGCAAGCCCGTCGATCTCATCGAAGAAGATGATGGAAGGTCGCAGCTGGTAGGCCTGCGTGCAGAGAGAGAGAGCGGGAGACCTTGTAGAAGACCAGGAATGTTACAGAGCAGTACAGCAAGGCTATGAGAATTGACTTGGTAAAGTAGGGCTATGTCAACCAACTAGGTAGATGTATAAGAATTGGCTAAGTAGGGCAGTGGTAAGTCAACCAACTCAGTAAGTCATGCCAAATGATTAGGCAGGTTAGGTAGAGATATAAGAGCCAATTCATTAAGACAAAACTATTTTATTTATCCCTTCGGTTAGTCGACATAAAGGCAAATCGAGACCCTGAAGGTTAATTAGCATCTCAATTGACCTTTGTGTCGACTAGCTGAAGGGATAAATGAACCAAAAAATATCACGCAAGTAGAAAACACTGCAAACCAAGATTCGACAGAGCACAGACTCACGAGCAAGAATAACATCGAAACAGACGGAGGCGCCACCTACCTGGTCGAACAGGAGACGCAGCTGCCGTTCGGACTCGCCCACCCACTTGCTGAGACAGTCAGCACCTTTACGCATGAAGAAGGCAACGCGCTTGTCGCCGTGGCTACACTCGTTTGCGAGCGCCCTCGCTACGAGCGTCTTGCCCGTACCTACGCACAAACGCGAGACAGGGTCAGGCGCGTTCTCGCAGACCTCTCGCTCATTCGGCTTCACGTTAGCGCTACGATTACGGTTCCACTTGCTTTAGCTCACGTTTTACTATGGCAAGAGAGCACACCCATTTTCTGTACCAATTTCTGACAAAAAGCCCAAACTAAGCCTCCCCCAACTGCCACACGCGCACGCACGCACGCACGCACGCACGCACGCACGCACGCACGCACGCACGCACGCACGCACGCACGCACGCACGCACGCACGCACGCAATCTTTAGTGCCTTGCGATATCAGGTGGCAACCTAATACTCTAGCAGGCCCTTGAAAATGCTTATTTTAGGGGCATAACTGGCTACTACTGTTTCCAGGTGGGTTTTCATGACTCATCATCGCTTACTCTGTGTAATGGTGGTTTAGACTACCCTTACATTCTCACATCTTACCATACTTAAAATTCTCTACAAAACAGGTTATTTAGATTTGCTACATTCATTTTAGGCAACCTTTCTCGTTATTATTTGAAACTCCCTCAAAATAAGAAGGCTGTAAATTCCGGAGGGCACGAAATAAAGTTTTTCTCCGGCCGCAAAATTTGGTTCCGCGCAATACCCTTAAATTCTTTTTTTCATTTTTAAAAATTCGAATAAATGTTGTGCCGAATGCTGGCGTCTCTCTCACCTGGTGGTCCGTAGAAGAGCACTCCCCGCGGCGGTGATATCTTGAATCGCTCAAACACTTCCGGGTACATGAGTGGAAATGCAACCATCTCCTTCAGCGCACGCACGTGCTTGCCAAGACCCCCGACACTCTCAAACGTCACCTGCAAACACAATACACACGTCTCTGTCATCCCTCCTCCTCCTCCTGTCTCCTCATCCTCACGTACGTACGCACGCAGCACGCACGCACGCGCCCGCGCGACGCACGCACGCACGCAACGCACCGCACGCAACACACAGTATATGTGTATATGTACGTGTATATGACACAGGGTTTCTTGAAAGAAGCACAGTGGCGCACCGCCGTTGTCAAATTTAACATCGCCGTTGTGAAAATGTTCCTGTATTTACTGATAAGTATATCCTGTATCTATATACCTATAAGTATATCAATACATACTGTATTTGAATCCATCATGCGCGTTTTTTCCCCCATACTGGCCATTACCTCCTTTGTCTAATTTTCCCTCAGAAGAAACCCTGTGACACATGACATATATTATGTTGAGCACTCACGCTGCTGTCTATCTTCATCGGATCAACGTCAGCCAGGCTCGATCCAATCTTCACCCTGTCTCGCAGTATGACGTTACTGGTCAGGTCCTCCGGACGAAAGTTCATCGGCAAGCATCTGAAAGAATGCGAAGAGCATCCCGTCAGTTCCTCAGTTAAACAAGTTCCTCGCCTATCCCCCGAGAATACCAAGCGGAAATATGTATGACCACTAGGTGGCGCTATGCAACAGTGTGTGTACCGACAGATACGTAGCGGTAGCGTGTACACGAGCGGCGCCCTCTGTTGAGCTGGAATTGGCAGGGGTAAAAATTAACTTGTGAACAAGGGAGTCCAACCCTCAAAAAGAGGGAGCCCGTAGCAAAATGAGGGAGTCCGCAGTCTGAAGTTCAAAACTAAAGATATTAACAATAACGCGGGTGCTTATTTTGAAGATTCATGCGGTTGCACGTCTGCCAAATTTTCATTGGACATTTGCTGAAAAAATATGGTAATTCCACGAAGCCGTGCTCTGGAACGAACTAGTTAGTATAGCAGAATTTTCAGGGAGTCCGACAGTAAATCAGGGAGTATTTGACTGCGGACTCGCACGTTAATTTCGCACGCAGCGTTGGTGCAGCGAGACTCACCTGTTGCGGGCACGCGCCATGCTCTTCACCTTGCGCCGCTGAAACTTCTGCTCATCGTCGCTGCTGCTGCCGGAGCTGGAGCTAGTCGATGAGCCGCTGTGGATCGCATGCTTCTTCCTGTTACCCACACACAGTGCATTACATAAAGAGACAGATCGCATTCGCAGCACATGCAGCATAATATAAGTATTGAATGTGTCACGTGTGTGCGTGCGTGCGTGCATGTGTGTGCAACAGAATTTTTTTTCATGATAACAATACCGAAGTAATACCGGATAGCAAATAAGCTCATTCAAGTCACACCAAGGCATTACTTACAATGCTTTAATTCTAGGCAAACCACATTTCACCTGCGTGTAGCACAATGGATGCCTTTTGGCCCTGGATGTTTTTTTTATTGGTGGTCTGTAATGTGTACACCCCATAACATTGATTCATGTACAGACCTCGCAAACTCCCACTGCTCACGATCACACTGGTTTGGTCAGTACTACCCACGAGACAACACCAAACATGCAGCCACAGCACCGCGCCCACCGGCCTCGGCCCCCGACTTATCAAGCTCTCGCTCCCCACACCCTGCCACACACCCACCGCCTACCGTTTGAAGCTGAGGTTGGACTTGCGCGCGGGCGACCGGTAGGAGACGGGCTGCTGCTTATGGCATCCCGGCGGCGGGGTCTCCGTGCGGAAGTACTCGTCTCGCTTCTTGGACTTTCCTGCGAGACAGAAAGAAGCACGGTCCGTGCGTTAAAGTAATATTTTTGAGCAAAATCTCATGTTTTCCCCACTTTTACGACACTTACCGTTATAGCTTGAGTAACAGCAATTGTCTAGAGTAACGATAAAATGTATTAGAACCTTCGTATTCACCAAAATATGCACGTATCGAACGAACCTCTCACCATTCTTATCAGAATGTCCACAAATCTGACTGAACTGCTTAAAACGAGGAAGTGTAGCAACGAAGGCTGGACTAAAAGTGTATGCGATCAATAGCTACTTACGTTCATCGAGTGGAATCTGAAAGAGATTCGTTGGCGGTTTCTTTGTGCGTAAAAAATAGGACTTGCGCTGGCTCTGAGCATTTCCTTCCTCCTCCTCCTCTTCGTCGTCATCGTCATCATCTTCCCCCTCTTCGTTTTCTTCCTCCTCTTCCTCCTCTTGACCTTCATCGTCCGATTCAGACCCTGAATTTAATAAGATAATACCATCACAATTATAACGCTATGTGTGATACTCATGCATTGCCGCATACCTTATCACAACACTTGGCATAAACGTTTCATTTTAACATAGACTTGCACGTATTCGAACGGGTTTTCATCTGCAAAGCATATGCCAAAAATTATTCTATATCTATTCGACGGTCCAAGTGCAACAGCATTCTACCTTACGACATTTGTAGACGTTGACTCTATATATTTTAATAGCGTAAACATGCCTACAACCCAGCTACCCTAAACCAGCCACAGCAGTCACCTGATGCGCTAAGCACAACTCGCAGCAAACGTGCATTGCCATGTAATTGTTTACAAGTCTAAAAAAATCATTGATCTTGTATGTTGCAAACAGTGGTAGCCAAAAGCCGGTACTAGTTGTTTACATGCTGACTAACTGTATGTCGCCGCACCGTGCCGCTATCTTTTCGACGCTGTCCCAAACCTGTCTTCTGGCATGAAAGACGGACCGCTCATGGATTCACTGTTAGCATGATTACAATCGGCCTTTCAAATCAGACATACAGGCACTATCGACGCCCATCCATCCACTCGAGCAGTCGTTACATATATCGCAGAGATGCCAACACATACTTGAAGCAATCTGTAGTTTCTGGCCAACAAATTAATAGTTCGAGCTACGTGACCCGAGTTTGCTAGGGGGTCCGGCATGCCCCCCGGAAAATTTTTTGATTCTGAGATGCAATTTCCTGCATTCTGAGGGTCAAAAATGACAATTAATCAACAAAAAATGACAAAAAACATTTTTTTTCGATTACAGTGGAATTCGTATTTTGATACAAACTGGTCGTAGTGGTGCAAAAGGATAGAAATTCGTATAAAATACGGATAAATCGTAGTGGTTGGCATCTCTGATATATCGTAACGCCTTGCGTGGGCGGCACCTCACCATGGTAACAAAACCTCTCACATATCTACTCTCACGTATGAAATTGTCGCGATTAATCCAGCGAAAACTTGCGCTGCGCTGCAACACTTTCAACAGTGCTCCTGTACGCCGAGGCAGAAATGTGACAAAAATATGTAACTCTCAGTAGCAGCAGAAGCACAAGCACCAGCAGCAGCGAAAGAGGAATAAATGCGTAGACTACTAACGCTAACAGCTACACCAAACGTTTGCTAAATATCAAGTGTTCTCTACGTTCGCTAAATATCAAGTGTTCTCTACGTTCGCTAAATATCAAGTGTTCTCTACGTTCGCTAAATATCAAGTGTTCTCTACGTTCGCTAAACATCAAGTGTTCTCTACGTTCGCTAATTATCAAGTGTTCTCTACGTTCGCTAAATATCAAGTGTTCTCTACGTTCGCTAAATATCAAGTGTTCTCTACGTTCGCTAAATATCAAGTGTTCTCTACGTTCGCTAATTATCAAGTGTTCTCTACGTTCGCTAAATATCAAGTGTTCTCTACGTTTGACATTGCGGACGAAATGAAGCCAACTACCTCCCGAAGTCTCGGTGCTCCCCGTCCTCTGCTCGAGTACAGGGATCCCGTACATGTTACGCACGACGCTCCGGCGTTCGCGCTTCACGCGAGAATACATGTCCTGATCCAGATTCTGGAAAACACGACGAGACGAGGTAAAACAATAGTCTACTATCACTGCCGTGCTATTACCTAGGAAGCACTAGCACTCCACTCGATCGCAACAAGGTACGCTGCCGCGTAAAAGTATGCGCTACATGTTAAAAGACAACGAAACATACAAAAATCATCATTAGCAAGTACCACACATACAAACTGACTGCACATTGAATAAGCAGTGCATTCAGGTTATTTTTAACAAACACAATGCAAGTAGCAACGTACAGTGCGTCTGTGAGCGCTGTCACAATTTTCAGGAAGTCCCACAGGCTTCCGCTAATTCAGGTCATGCAGTGCGAGAGTAAAACAGATGGCATTTGCCTCCAAGCTCGCATTAATTTAGACCCCTTCATACACATCACGGGTTGATAATGACAAATTATCTGTCATTATTAACCCCTGATATATAATATGTATACACCTGCACAATATTTCTTAACATTTTCACCGATTGTAACAGCAATGTGTACACTTAAAAATCAAAATCTTTGTAATCCACGGAGGATTCTCCTGCCTCACACAGAAAAATGCTGACAGCTTCAAATCATGAAAGCAAGAGTAACGCTGAGTCCTCTAAATCGCCATACGGATTGCACGACGCTCCATGAAGCAAACAATGACAAGTGCTCCCATCTACCTGATTGCTAATGTCGAGCATTCGTAGTTCGCGTATCAGGTGCTTCTTCCTCGCCCGTTTCTCTTTCTCCGACATGTTGCTGCGGCTATCGTCGTGGCGCTGGTCACGGCTCGAAGTCTCCGCCTTGCTACTCTGTCTCCTACCATCGGAAAAACACTCGTCAATGTCTCGACATACGTTCGTTCCTCACAAGGTAGAATGTCTGCATGTGTGCTTGTCTGTGTCTGTATGTGCGTGCGTGCGCAAAACTATGAAAATTACTTACAATCGCAAAAAAACTACTTGATAACCATGATTCAAAATAGCGACAACTACTAACGTGGTTCTGGGTGTATGACGATCAATCCCAGACTCCTCTGGCTCTGTGTTATCATCATCGTTATCGTTATCGTTATTCTCCGGCGTGCCGTTGAACAACTGGTTTGAACCTATGCCTACAAAGCAAAGTGGTCACTCAATACTGTATCAAGTCAGCCACACTCAGTATAAGCTTGTACCACAACAACCGCTATGAGTTAGAGAGCGGGTGACAGGTGCGCGAGAAGTTCATGCTGCATTTCTCCTACACTTCATTTAAAATAACAAAAGATCAAAGGTTTTATTGAGTTAAAGAATCGGCTGGCCCGACGCATGCGACGGTGGCTCACCCTCGTGGCGTGCACTCGTAACTTTCTCAAAGCTGTGGTAGTGTCTCTCCTCAGCCGTGTTACCACTCGACTGCAGGTGCTTCTCGAGTGTCGACATGTTGAGTGTATCGTAGACCATGCGGCGCTGCCGCGTGCTGCGCCTGATCCCCGAGTCACCGTTCATCACGCGGTAGTCGTTCTTGTCTCCGTCGTTGCCGCGAGCCGACTGCTTGCTACGCCGCGTGCGCCTGTCAACACATCACGTATGTGCGATAACGGTCACAGCTCATAATAATTATCAACAGCACCGCAAAGTAATATCACCCATTTAGAACCGTTTAGTGAATTCATCGTGGCGGATAAATGGTTGCAATCGATACCTTTCGGAAAAAAATCATCTTCACATGGAGTAATTGAAATTATTTAAACACAATTTCATATACGGGGGGGGGGGGGTCATTACGAATTCAATGACGGGGGGGGGGGGGGGGGGGTCATTACGAATTCAATGACTACTTAGTGTTCAAAAAACACTAAAACGCATAATAGCTGACACCACTTGCAAAGTTCTGCATACACTACTGATTATAATAGTTTCATTTTGTCGGCAGTCGCTGAATACACCAACATGTGGTTGCATGTCAGGGGGGCACCTATGACATACTATTCAATCTGTGCTCGTTATTCTGATTTTATTTGTGCATTTAATTCAGACATGCGACACAAGCTAGATCGAAACTACTGGTAGGTTGTGCCTCTACTTATCATGCGTGATATCAACATTGTCGCGCATAACCAACTCTTACATGGGGGCCATCTGTACTTCTTCATCTTCCGATGATGATGATGACGTATCGGCCATGCGCTTGACCCCTCTCCTTTTCGGGAAGGTCATGACCGTGGTATCGCTCCCATCTCCATCACTGCCATATTCCTACGTGAGAAATCAACACAATAGAGTAACGGCTTACGAGCAGTCAGTTGTTCAACTTACTATAATGCTGATTTCACTCAAAGTTGCGTGACATTAAAAAAACTCGAGCCAATTTTCGTGCGAGCAACCGACATCTGGACTGCTTACACCAGTAGAGAAAGGTCTCACGGTTGCGTATCATCAACTCGACTTCACCGATCATCAGTGTTGAAACGCTTAGCCATTCAAAAATAATTCGACAGAGAGGTGAATGTTCAACAGAGACCGGTTTGAAAAGCTATGGATTAACTGTAAAGTGTAAACGTATCTACAATGCACTCAGCAGATTACAGACCTAGGCATTCCTATGCTAAATCGATTGACAGGTGAAGTGAGTTATACACACAGCTAAAGTATTTAGTCTGTTGTTCCCTAATTTTCACTTATAGTTGGCCAGTAATGACTAGTGTTGTCAATCGGTTGTAATTTCGTAATCGATCATCGGTTGGACCCAAGTAACCGATGATCGGTTACAATCGGTTACTCAGGGTGTTGAATGCCTGCGTGTGCGTAACGTCGTGCGCATGTACGTGTGTGCATGTATGTGCTTGTTTAGCCCTGTTTACTGTTTGTTTTGCACTGTTTACTACTGTGTGTATAATACATGTATGTTAATAAAGGATAACTTGTATAGTAGCGATGACATCTCTGATTCTCATCACTTTTCCAAGTTTTCTTGTTCAAGTTTAAAAATATAAAAAAATAAATCGATTATGGATTTTGATAACCAAGCGCTTGGTTCGAGCCACTGTTCAACCGATGATCGAGTATAATCGATGATCGTGACATCACTAAGCGCTTGGTTCGAGCCACTGTTCAACCGATGATCGAGTATAATCGATGATCGTGACATCACTAGTAATGACACAGCTGCTACTTAATATGATTACATAAGTGGCATTGAATGAATAGCAACAGTTGATAAGACGAAGCAATCATATAAGGTTTATCACACATAGCGTTGTCCGACTGCATTCTTGCCTGGGATGACAGATAACCGAGAGTTTATAATTAGATATGCAAGGCAAACATGTGCGCTTTTTATTAATGCATGAATATGCCAAATAAAACAGGGTGCGAAATTAACGGGAGTCCGGAGTCAAATACTCCCTGATTTACTGTCGGACTCCCTGATTTGACATATATATGCAGGAGTCTGTGTGACTCCCTGAAAATTCTGCCATACTAACTAGAACTTTTGTTCCGGAGCACGGCCTCGCTGAATTACTGTATTTTTTTTTCAGCTACAGTCCAAAGAAAATTTGGCAGACGTGCAACTGCATGAATCTTAAAAATAAGCACATGCGTTATTGCTTTAATTTTGAACCTCAGACTGCGGACTCCCTCTTTTTGAGAGTAGGGAGTCCGTTGGACTCCCTTGTTCAAACGTTAATTTCTACCCCTGATAAAACCTAGCAGATGTTACAAACCATATCTTAATTCAAGCATTAGACGAGAGATGGGCGCATCATAACACAGGGGTAGAAATAAGAAAAAAAAAGAGATGGTCCACAGGACCATCTAGTTTGAAATTAAGATGGTCCTCCTAAATTTCAAATTGTTCTCTTTAAATTAATGTGGCGTGCAATCGTAATCTTTGCTATGGTGAACACTGGATTAGCAATAATTGAAACATGGAAACTTCAAAAAAAAATTGTTAAAATGGGACCAAAATATTCAATGGTCCGTCGGACCATTGACTTTGAAAATCTGACGATCCTCTTGATTATTTGATGGCCCCGGACCATCGGACCATCGCTTATTTCGACCCCTGATAACAGGCAAGGTTGAACACACTTTCACGTGCACCCGACTTTGATATAACCGAACTATAAACAACGTTACACAAACTATGATGATTAATCACATTCTGCCAATCTTATCGGAGCTGAATACTTTCAAGTTTGAGATTATTTTCCCCTGATCTTATCTATAACACCTAACTACTAGTTCTACTGCAAAAATCATGTTAATATAGTAGCATTATGTTGGTACTATAACCTCAATATTAGTGTATTTATGACCACCTGGTCAGTAGAAAATATTTGTATTAGTAGTAAGTGATGAGTGAATATATTTTTAAAAATATGATCAGATAAGTAAAAAGTAATTGATTACTGTACTAACTGACCTCAAATAAATACTGTATGAAGCAAGTACAAATAACATCTTTATTCTTGGTATCTCAACAACACCTGCACTGACTACATATTATGTTGGTGCTTTTAGAGTGATCCAACACACAGATTTAATATTTTAGATTTTGGTTAGTTGGTCTAGACCTGCCGCACTTCTAACAGCTGGAAGTTTATCCACCTATTAGTATTAGTATTAACGCAACTGTGACTTGTAGTTGTAACTTGTAGTTCTATCATATTGATAGAAAAGAATCATAAATAACCCCTAATCACTGCATATGATAACCTTTCACCAATCTGACCTGAAGTAACGATCTGATTATCAGTGATAGTACATATGGATTACATTAAGCGTAAAATAATTAAATAACAGTAGTCTCGCTAAACATTAAATTATTTCATTTTTTTAAAACCACTTTAGCATTAAAAAACAAGAGATGGCAGCACAATGTCGCCGATGGTGATGACACTTCTGTGAGATACTCGGTCAGCGAACTTTGACGTATGAAACAAAGAAAATTCGTGCAACAGCGAAATAGGCACATCTTAATTTCACATACAGCCATTTAGTACATTGTAATTGGAATCCGTTCCCTAGCTTGTCAACGACTCGTAAAAAATGGAAACACTGACCTCTGACAGACATCGAACAGCCGATGTTTTGTAAAAGAAAAATCGGGGCCATAGGCCTAAAGACAATGGACCTGGAAATTATTTTTCGAAAATGTGTCACTTACGTCTGAGTGATGTTCAATACCTGTCGACCGCCTGCTTCTTCTGGAGGAAATGGTTAGGAAGTCATTTGGAAAATGACTACTAGTCACTTCTTGATGTCTAGTTTTCACCATTTTTGAGGCAAAAATTAACGCCAGCGAAAATCGTTCGCCATTTCTATCGCCGAGTAACAACAGAAACCATGCGCACAGTACAGGAATTAGTACATAGCCGGAATGTTAATCCTTTAAATGGTGAATACTATCACTGTAATCTATATATTTTGTAACACTATAATATGTATGGCTGCATTTAAGACCGCTATGCTACTTATTAATTTTGTTTGGGATTTATTACGAGGAAAAGCGCGGTGTAATACGTCTAGACACTTGTGTTATCGGGTGTTCAGAAGTGGCGGGAAATTTGGTTCCACTGGGAGTGGATCACTGGGAGTGGAGCATTACTCCACACAGGGCATGATATCAGCTGATCGGCGACCAGGGTATATATACAAAATAATTGTCACTTGTGGAGCTAGAATCATCACAGTACAATATGTAAAATTTTAGAGTATTTAGTGTAGCTGAAATTCTTTGGCTTGTTTTATATTTTTGTTTTAATTTTTATATGCCGTTTTTGACTTTCTGTTGTATTTTTTATTAAATAACATTTATACTTATATTTTCTCGTTTTATAATAATATTTAATGCAACAGCCTTATATTATGGGTTAAATTAAATTAATTTATCAATGCAATATCCGCATTTGGAGTTTTTCTTGAAAATATAAGTCATTTGCATAAAAATCGATAAAACATAATAATTATACATGCAGACGCCAGATTGGTTGTGTATATAGACAGGTGGTATAACCATTTGATACCCAACAGGTAACCAACAGATATAATTTGTGATGATTTTTGTGATGATATTGTGTGATTTTTGTGATGATATTGTGTGATTTTTGTGTTGATATTCTGGTGATTGAATTTATCATGATTGAGCTATTAACTATATATGTACATCATAACATTTCCACATAAATAGTAACGCTTGTGGTGACTAAAATTCTCTCATATCATTATCGGGTTTGTCTTTGATACTGCATGAGGATATGCTGTATAATTTTAAAATGTGTTAAAAAGTATTATTTAGCTACTGTGCATAGCAATTATGAATATTAATTAATGCCGTGCTGTATAAACGACACGGGGTGAAAACGAAACAATGCATAAAACCGATTTCTAACGAACTTTTCTATTTACTACTTGAGATTTTATTGATTAAAAATGAACGACATGCAAACACTTTAAAATTGAATTTAAAAGTCTTATATGGTATATATATATATACCATATATATATTTATATATACGTTTGGTTATCCATCAATAATGTATGTGGTACCGAACTATAATATAGCTATAATAAAGAAACCGTAAATGTAACGCTATTTGATGTGAAGTGACGATGTTATGTCTATCCTAACGATCTAACACGGATTGATTTATGCGCTGCATAGAATAAGTTAAAGATGAACAATAACAGGCCATACGCCACATTCAACAATGCGAATATAAAACAAATTTATATATTACGCGGCGGAAAACAATGATAGCGGTGGTTACGTATACTAGTACACGGAGACATCAAGTATTACGCAAGTTAGTTAGTATACGACACCTATACGGAAAGACAAAAAACACGTTTCATCTTCTGTTACGATACGACTTCCACATTGAGGATGAGTTCACGGTGATCAGGTGACAGGTGCTTTTCCCAATTACATATTGGTAATACCTGTTGTGTGTATATATATATATATATATATATATATATATATATATATATATCAATAATATGAATTAAGAAATCTCTCTTTCACTGTGTTGTTATCGTTTTGGTTCTAATATGGTTGTATGGTATACCAAGTTGTGTTTTTTATTACAGTAGGACGCAAGTCTGTCCGCCTCTTCTCTTCGTGTCCATGCTAGGTGTTTAATTGCTGTTATATAATTTTAATCGTAATCAACGATGTCGATTTTTATTTTTTCTTAGCCGTGCAACATTAGTTATATCTGGAACAATCTCCTCTTACTTGCAGCCGCTTGATCATGCGCCAAAAACTGCTGGTTGAAATAACAACGCGTTTCGAGCACCCATCTATAAACGCCTACGTCATAACGATATATTTATAATATACTATATGCAGTAGGAAACAACATCTACTGAATAGTATAACAAGTTGCACAATACATAGTGGCGAATTAGCGTATGTGATATATGCGTTATATATATAGGACATTGATAAGAGCTGACAATATACTGTACTGACCGACAAGTGCAGCTTTGCATTATATTTAAGCGTTATACATGTGCGTCACGTTAATCACAAACTGCACAGTAGGCACTACCATAGATCTAACGCACCAATATACGATACTAATAATATCGCTACATTGATATATATATATATACAGCTACATAGTGTAACCGAAAATCAACGAGTTTGTATAGTAAGTGTCGTTTCGTTATCTTCACGTTTTATCAGCGGACTATATGTCCGATGTTAAGACACGCTTTCATTATAATTGCAAACTGGGTAATTCTACCCTTGCACAGTATACAGCACACTAGTGGCAACAAGAAAGCCTCCTTCGCTGCGCAACAAGAATCCTTCGTCCTGCAATAACGATCCTCCTCCTCCCACCTCCCTCTCCCCTCCTCTTCTTCTCTCCCTCCTCCTCCTGACTGCATTTTAGAGAATAAAACTTCAGCACTCAATTCCTGACGCCTGTGTGAGTTGCTGTCAATGGTTGCAGTCGTATATATATGTACCCATCATACAGGCACGTCCTGCCACACACCTACTCGATTGACTGTGTGCGCCTACCTGCTTCTACAGCACGGAACCGTCGCCGACTCGATCTCATCCGCCCCCCCCCGTGGGCTCCTCGAGTTATTTCCACTTAACACCAGCCATCGTCCCGGCAGCCCATGCTCGCGTCTGCCACCACCTCCAGAAAGCAACCCTATTGCCATTCTTCGTCACTCTGCTCTCCTTCTCTCTCTCTCTCCTCGTCTCTCTCTCTCCTCCTCTCTCTCTCTCTCGTCTCTCTCCCTTCGCTCTCTCTCTCTCTCGCTCTCTCGTCTCTCTCTCTTCTCTTCTCTCCTCTCGCTCTCTCTCTCTCTTCTTCCGCTCTCTCTCTCTCTCTCTCTTCTCTCTCTCTCCTCTCCTCTCTCTCTTCTCCTCTCTCCCCTCCACACACAACACACACACACACACACACACACACACGACACACACCTCTCTCTCGCTCTTCTCCTGATCTCCCTTCCCACTCTCGCCGCTCGCCGCTATCAGTTCGCTCTCCCTCTCCTCATCTCCCTCTTTCTCATTTTCCGTCTTTCCTTTCTATCTCCCCCAATCTCCCTTCGCTCCTTCTCCCCCTCCCTCTCCCGCTCTTCCTTCCCTTCCCTCTCCTCCCATCTCTCTCTCATGTTTGTAGCTCGCTCACAGCGCTGTAGCGGAGTTGGCGAGATTGTTTCCCAATTCGACGCTGTGTGGCGTTGCTGTCACGGTGTTGCTCCGCTAATCGGTGCTGGTCCGAGATGTGTCAGCTTCGCCGCGTCGGCTGTATACGTCACTGTCGGTTCTTGCTCTCTGCTCGGAGTTTATTCAAGTCAACGTCGGGCCGAAACAGATTTTTAATGTGCTGTAAAAGCGGAACGACAGTCGCCATTACCTCTGTCGCGGCGCCATCTATCGCTGACATACAGCGATAAACCCGCGTGAATTTATTTAATTGGAAAAAGTGTCAGTAGGAAAGAAAGAAAGTCCGGGAAAGAAAGAAAGTAAACGGAGAGTCACAAGAGAGAGAGAGAGAGAGAGAGAGAGAGAAAGAGAGAGTGGCGAGAAAGAGAGAGAGAAATAGAGGGAGAGTAAGTGTGTGAGAGAGAGTATGTGTGTGTGCGTGCGTGCCTGTGTGCGTGCGTGCGTGGCTGCGTGCGTGTGTGGGGTGTTGTCATAGCTTTTATAGACACATTTTACATCATATCAAATCAAATTACTCATATCTACTCTTCATACTCGCCGCAAGAAAACGTTAAAGAGTTTTAGCGCGTTTCTCCAGCTTTCGCGCCATATATATACTTACGCACCACTCGCATGCTGCGACCGCGGGTATCTGACGACTTCATCGATAAATTTTGTAAACCATGTATGCTGGTATGCACAGCATTGATGCGAGACCCCATACACCACCCGATCGCCTGTCCCAGTCGCGGGAACGTGTAGTCCATGTAGGTGAGCGCTTGAACTGAACAAGACTAAACAAGAAATACTCCCTGCAAGAACGAAAGGAACAGCGCGTGTAACGGCGAAGCAGGGTGCGATTGCAAGCCGAGATTGCAACAGGGAAAGAGAGAGACGTGGGAGGCTGCGTGATTTCACGCGGCCGTTTGTGTGTGTTAAACATTGCAGGCATAATTGGCGCTCTTGTTACATAAGGGCACGGCCAAGGAATAACGGCACTAACACATGATCGACATTGAAAAACGGCGTGAGATGCTTACCACGTAGGCATATATACTATGATATATATATAATTATATATATATATATATATGCGTTTGCGCGTGGGCGCCCGCGAGTGTGAAAGGGTGAGTGGATGTGAGAGATACAGAGATAGATAGATAGATAGATAGATAGATAGATAGATAGATATATAGATAGACAGATAGATAGATAGATAGATAGAATAGATAGATAGATAGATAGATAGATAGAAGAATAATAGATAGATAGATAGATAGATAGTATAGATAGATAGATAGATAGATAATAGATAGATAGATGATAGAATAGATAGAAATAGATAGATAGATGAATAGATATGTGGATATGTGGGTAGCAGCACGCACAGCGCAGATGATCGGTATGGTAAACGTCCAGCAGACGATCTTCCACCAGATGCCAGGGTAAAAGCCAATCATCTCCTTTGATATCGTTCATGAAGCGGTCGCATCCCTAAAACGCAAACAAATATATATATATATATATATATATATATATATATATATATAAACAAAGTCAAGGTATAGAATAAGGGTGTTTAAAGTTTAATTGACGAAGCCTTTCGAGATTACATCTCTTCATACAGGTCAGCAGACATTGGAATAGAATCAAATAATCAAAAACAAATACAATGCGTTATAGATAATCAAAAATCGAATGATTCACACACAATTCGCGCGTTGCCATGAATACGGACGACAAAAGAACACGCACATATATATATACACCGCACAAAACACACACACACACAGAGACACACACACACAAACACACACACACACACACACACACACACACACACACACACACACACACACAGCGAAGCAATGCACTAAAAAATCACCGTAAATTAAAGTTTACGTTCATGCCCCTGGATTTAAACAACCAATCCTCAGAATTAATTTCTGCTCAGTCATGTGTCGGCGTGAGCTATTGTAATATGGTGTCAGTTGGCAAACCACACAACAGGCCACGTCATCAATATGGTGATCCGGTTGGTTAAAATGGTCAGCAACGTCGGAAAACCATGAAATTGAGGCGAATAGATCTTAGTGTTTCAACAACCTATCCGCAAGGCGGCGTTTTTGTTTTGCCAATATAGTAAATTTGGCATTTAACACATTCAATGGCGTAAATGAGGTTCGTCGACACGCAATGTAAATAAATCCCGCACTATAAATTTGCCCCGAGGCCCTTGAACCACAGACCCGCTATTCGTGATAAAATTGCCAAGTACTGCAACGTTTTCGACAACACGGGTATGAGCCAGGTTGGCTCACGGGGTTGTCAGAGTTGTAAACGGTGCTTAAAACAAGAGTGTCGCGGAGGTTGGTATCACACGTCTGTACGAGCATAAAGGTGGGTTTGAAAAGATGTTAACTGTGATTGGGATGCGTTTTGAAAGAATTTTATAAAATTATCAATTAACAAACCTTTTGATGTGCAGGATTGAAAGGTTGAAGGGTGATATCAATCCTGCACATCAAAAGTTTGTTAATTGATAATTATAAAATTTCTCCACGGCTTTGGCACCGGGCGTGGTGGCGTGATTTTGCCTGCTAGAGTACTTATTATATGTGGGGAAGCATCAAGGTATGGTTTATATGTATAATTAAGAACTTTAGTAGAGCTAAATTGTTCACAAATAGATACAATTACTGCAAAGCCTAAACTCCTCATTCAATGACTACTATTCATTACTACAGTCGCACCCCGTTAGTACGAAACTGATGGGCCAAAGAAAAATAATCGTATTAAGCGGGTTCCGTATAATATATTAGCCTAAATTTGAAGAGAAAAACAATGGATTAGAAGGCGTGTACAAAGTGTTTTATATAGAAATGAATATACCGGGACAAAAAATTTTATGTTAGTAACAGGATCCTTGTATTATTGTCCTCGTATCAAGTCAATATTTTACTAAGAGATTACTATGAATCGGGCCGGGATTTAGAGAAATCATCGTATAGTCTCATCAGCGTAACGAGCGAATATGGCCGCCGGAAGCGGCCATTTTGCGAGTAACCATAACTCCAACTCTAATCCTAACTTTAACTCTAACCCTAACCCTAACCCTAACCCGTCCCCTAACCTGAAACCTAACCCTAACTTCAACTCAAACCCTTACCCTAACACTAACCCTAACTACAACCCAAACCCTAACCCTAAAATAAAGCAGCGCAGTAAACTCTCAGATTTTGTACTCGGAGAGATCTGGACTCTTTTAGCGAGATTATGTAGCTTGGCGAGTTCTAGGTAGAGCAGGTTTTAGGATATAAATCACGGACAAAGTAAATTGGTGATCGTTCGCGTAGAAAAACTAATAAGAACAAACAGAAAGGAGGGACGTGATACCGCGTCCCCCGCGTATCGGCTTCTTACCATACGACCAGGATATTGCTATGCACTCGAAGAACATGATGAAGAGCAAGCACGTGCCGCTTGCCGAGTAGTAGTCGAAGATCTTGAACATGTACATTCCTCCCTTGCCATGAAAGAAAAACGCGGAAATGTCACCATGAATGCCCGATAGCGAGCCGCATTTCGTCGCATTGTCCTCTCTACGTTTACCCTACGATTTCGACACGCCCATTTTTAGCGCGGGGTTGTAATTTCGTAACTTCAAAAGACTATACGCGCTTGGGATCGAGTCATTTGGACGATTCCCCAGCCGGTGTGAGCACTACTAAAGTTTGCCACTGTGCCTGCGTGTATGTTAGAAAATGATTTCTCCTCGTTCTTCTTCTTTGTGGTTTTTATTCCTTCCTTATCTTCTCTTTTTCCCCTTCTCTCTCTCTCTTCTCACTCTCTCTCTCTCTCTCTCTCTCTCTCTCTCTCTCTCTCTCTCTCTCTCTCTCTCTCTCTCTCTCTCTCTCTCTCTCTCTTGGGAAGTGTACCAGACCTGACAATCGGGGATCCACCTTCCCCGCGGAGCATGACCGCATACGCTGGACATTTATATACGTAGTCTATCGTCTATAGTTAGTCTGCGAGTTAGCCTATATTGCGTCAAAGAGTTCTGACGCGAGTTTAAACGCGACGTCATCAGTAGCGTCATCATCACCTGCGTCAGGCAGGAGAGGCCGATGAGATAGGAGATCCCGCAGATGAAGGCGATGAAGAGTTCTCGTCTGGGTCGCAGTTGACGCGGGAACTCGTCCACGAGCGCCGTGATGAATCCCTCCAGCGTGCAGAACTGCGTGACGACGAGATAAGCAAACCGTGAATCACGCGTGACGTAAGCGAGAGTCACGTGCGTAGCGAACGTGATTCACGCGAATATCGCGCGTGAACCAAGAACGAATCGCGCGTGAAGTGAATGTAAGTGGCGCGTATATCACGCGTACATAAACAGTGAATCACGCGTAAAGGAAGCGTGAATAGCGCTTAAAGTGATTGTGGATTACGCGGAAAAGAAGCGTGACTCACGTCTTATTAAGTCGTTATCGTCAATTACAAGTACACGTAAACCGTGAATCACGTGCCAAGTCGACGTACAATACACGTAAACGTCCGTGAAACGCGCGTGTAGCGTCCGTGAAACGCGCGTGTAGCGTCCGTGAAACGCGCGTGTAGCGTCCGTTAATCACGCGTGTAGCGTCCGTGAAACATGCGTGTAGTGTCCGTGAAACGCGCGTGTAGCGTCCGTGAAACAATATCAATAATATGAATTAAGAAATCTCTCTTTCACTGTGTTGTTATCGTTTTGGTTCTAATATGGTTGTATGGTATACAAGTTGTGTTTTTTATTACAGTAGGACGCAAGTCTGTCCGCTCTTCTCTTCGTGTCCATGCTAGGTGTTAATTGCTGTTATATAATTTAATCGTAAATCAACGGATGTCGATTTTTAGTTTTTTTCTTAGCCGTGCAACATTAGTTATATCTGGACAATCTCCTCTTACTTGCAGCCGCTTGATCATGCGCCAAAACTGCTGGTTGAAATAACAACGCGTTTCGAGCACCCATCTATAAACGCCTACGTCATAAACGATATATTATAATATACTATATGCAGTAGGAAACAACATCTACTGAATAGTATAACAAGTTGCACAATACATAGTGCGAATTAGCGTATGTGATATATGCGTTATATATATAGGACATTGATAAGAGCTGACAATATACTGTACTGACCGACAAGTGCAGCTTTGCATTATATTTAACGTTATACATGTGCGTCACGTTTAATCACAAACTGCACAGTAGGCACTACCATCTAACGCACCAATATACGATACTAATAATATCGCTACATTGATATATATATATACAGCTACATAGTGTAACCGAAAATCAACGAGTTTGTATAGTAAGTGTCGTTTCGTTATCTTCACGTTTTATCAGCGGACTATATGTCCGATTGTTAAGACACGCTTCATTATAATTGCAAACTGGGTAATTCTACCCTTGCACAGTATACAGCACCTAGTGGCAACAAGAAAGCCTCCTTCGCTGGCAACAAGAATCCTTCGTCCTGCCAATAACGATCCTCCTCCTCCCACCTCCCTCTCCTCCTCCTCTTCCTTCTCCTCCTCCTCCTGACTGCATTTTAGAGAATAAAACTTCAGCACTCAATTCCTGACGCCTGTGTGAGTTGCTGTCAATGGTTGCAGTCGTATATATATGTACCCATCATACAGGCACGTCCCTGCCACACACACCTACTCGATTGACTGTGTGCGCCTACCTGCTTCTACAGCACGGACCGTCGCCGACTCGATCTCATCCCCCCCCCGTGGGCTCCTCGAGTTATTTCCACTTAACACCAGCCATCGTCCCGGCAGCCCATCTCGCGTCTGCCACCACCTCCAGAAAGCAACCCTATTGCCATTCTTCGTCACTCTGCTCTCCTTCTCTCTCTCTCTCTCTCTCTCTCTCTCTCTCTCTCTCTCTCTCTCTCTCTCTCTCTCTCTCTCTCTCTCTCTCCCTCTCTCTCTCTCCTCTCTCTCTACTCTCCTCTCTCTCTTCTCTCTCTCTCTCTCTCTCTCACACACACACACACACACACACACACACACACACACACACCTCTCTCTCGCTCTGTCTCCCGATCTCCCTTCCCTCTCGCTCCCGCTATCAGTTCCTCTCCCTCTCCTCATCTCCCTCTTTCTCTTCCGCTCTTTCCTTTCTATTCTCCCCCGGACATCTTGCCCTTTCGCCCTCCTTCCCCTCCCTCTCCCGCCTCTTCTTCCCTTTCCCTCTCCCTCCCATCTCTCTTCGTGTTTTGTAAGCTCGCTCACAGCGCTGTCGCGGAGCTGGCGAGATTGTTTCCCAATTCGACGCTGTGTGGCGTTGCTGTCACGTTGCTGCCGTAATCGGGTGCTGGTCCGAGATGTGTCAGCTTCGCCGCGTCGGCTGTATACGTCACTGTCGGGTTCTTGCTCTCTGCTCGGAGTTTATTCAAGTCAACGTCGGGCCGAAACAGATTTTTAATGTGCTGTAAAACGGAACGCAGTCGCCATTACCTCTGTCGCGGCGCCATCTATCGCTGACATACAGCGATAAACCCGCGTGAATTTATTTAATTGGAAAAAGTGTCAGTGAAAGAAAGAAAGTCCGGGAAAGAAAGAAAGTAAACGAGAGTCACAAAGAGAGAGAGAGAGAGAGAGAGAGAGAGAGAGAAAGAGAGAGTGCGAGAAAGAGAGAGAGAAATAGAGGGAGAGTAAGTGTGAGAGAGAGTATGTGTGTGTGCGTGCGTGCCTGTGTGCGTGCGTGCGTGCGTGCGTGCGTGTGTGTGTCATAGCTTTTATAGACACATTTTCACTCATATCAATCAAAATTACTCATATCTACTCTTCATACTCGGCGCAAAAAAACGTTAAACGTTTTACGCGTTTCTCCAGCTTTCGCGCCATATATATACTTACCACTCGCATGCTGCGACCCGGGTATCTGACGACTTCATCGATAAATTTGTAAACCATGTATCCTGGTATGCACAGCATTGATGCGAGACCCATACACCACCCGATCGCCTGTCCCCAGTCCGGGAACGTGTAGTCCATGTAGGTGAGCGGCTTGAACTGAACAAGACTAAACAAGAATACTCCCTGCAAGAACGAAAGGAACAGCCGTGTACGGCGACAGGGTCGATTGCAAGCCGAGATTGCAACAGGGAAGAGAGAGACGTGGGAGGCTGCGTGATTTCACGCGCCGTTTGTGTGTGTAAACATTAGCATAATTGGCGCTCTTGTTAACTAAGGGCACGGCAAGGGAATAACGGCACTAACAGATCGACATTGAAAAACGCGTGAGATGCTTACACGTAGGCATATATACTAAATAGATAGATAAGATAGATAGATAATAGTAGCAGATAGAGTAGATAGCTATAAATGATTAGATAGATGATAGATAGATACGATAGTAGATAGATAGATAGAAGTATAGAGATAGATAGATAGATAGATAGATAAATGAAGATAGATAGATGATGTGATAGATATGTGGTAGTGGAGCGAGCACGCACAGCGCAGGATGAATCGTAGTGGTAAACGTCCAGGCAGATCTTCTCTACCATGATGGCCAGGGTAAGAAGCCATATCATCTCCTGCTTTGATATCGTTCAGTGAAGCGGTCGCTAGCGCCTAAAACGCATACTAATTATATTTATATATATATAATATATATATATATATATATGATATATAAACAAGTTCAAGTGTATGAATAAGGGTTTAAGTTTAATTGACGAGCTTTCGAATTACTATCTCTTCATACAGTCAGCAATCATTGGATTCAATAGTAATGCAATATAATATGCAGTTATAGTACTAATTTGCTATATAATCAAATGATATGACTTCAACATCTATATTCTCGCGCGTTGCCATGATGACGGGACGACAAAAGATATCGACAATAGTATTGATTATACACGCACAAAAACTATCACAACGAACATGCTAGAGAACATATAGCACACATGGCACACACTACCACCAACACCATCACACATCACAAGCACTACACATGACATCACACATCACTACCACACACACACGCACACTACATCCGTAGCAGACTATAATAAATGTACACGTAATTAAAGTTTACGTTCATGCCCCTGTGATTTAAACAACCAATCTCTTCAGAATTAATTCTTTGCTCAGTCATGTGTCGGCGTGAGGCTATTGTAATATGGTGTCAGGTTGGCAACCACACAGACACGTCTATCATATTGTGATCCGGTTGGTTAAAATGGTCAGCAACCGGAAAACCATGGAAATGAGGCGAATAGATCTTAGGTGTTCAACAACCTATCCGCAAGGCGGGTTTTGTTTTGCCAATATAGTAAATTTGGCATTTAAACCATTCAATGGCGTAAATGAGGTTCGTCGACACGCAATGTAATAAATCCGCCACTATAAATTTTCCGAGGCCTTGAACCACAGCACCTATTCGTGATAAAATTGCAAGTACTGCAACGTTTTCGACAACACGGGTTGAGCCAGGTTGGCTCACGGGGACGTGGTTGTCAGAGTTGTAAACGTGCTTAAAACAAGAGTGTCGCGGAGGTTGGTATCACAGTCTGTACGAGCATAAAGGTGGGTGAAAAGATGTTAACTGTATGGATCGTTTGAAGAATTTTATAATTATCAATTAACAAACTTTGATGTGCAGGATTGTAGGGTGAAATCAATCCTGCACATCAAAAGTTGTTTAATTTGATAATTATAAAATTTCGTCACGGCTTTGCACCGGGCGTGGTGGCGTGATTTTGCTTGCTAGAGTACTTATTATATGTGGGGAAGCATCAAGGTATGGTTATATGTATAATTAAGAACTTAGTAGAGCTAAATTGTTCACAAATAGATACAATTACTGCAAAGCCTAAACTCCTCATTCAATGACTACTATTCATTTACTACAGTCGCACCCCGTTAGTTACGAAACTGATGGGCAAAAGAAAATAATCGTATTAAGCGGGTTCCGTAAATATATTAGCCTAAATTGAAGAGAAAAACAATGGATTAGAAGGCGTGTACAAAGTTTTTATATAGAATGAATATACCGGGACAAAATTTTTATGTTAGTAACAGGTCCTTGTGTTTATTGTCTCGTAATCAAAGTCAATATTTTACTAAGAGATTACTAAATCGGGCCGGGATTAGAGAAATCATCGTTAGTCTCATCAGCGTAACGAGCGAATATGGCCGCCGGAAGCGGCCATTTTGCGAGTAACCATAACTCCAACTCTAATCTAACTTTAACTCTAACCCTAACCCTAACCCTAACCCGTCCCCTAACCTGAAACTAACCCTAACTTCAACTCAACCTTACCCTACACTAACCCTAACTACAACCCAAACCCTAACCTAAAATAAAGCAGCGCCAGTAAACTCTCAGGTTTTGTACTCGGAGAGATCTGACTCTTTTAGCGAGATTATGTAGCTTGGCGAGTTCTAGGTAGAGCAGGTTTTAGGATTAAAATCACCGACAAGTAAATTGGTGATCGTTCGCGTAGAAAAACTAAATAGAACAAACAGAAAGGAGGGACGTGAATACCGCGTCCCCGCGTATCGGCTTCTTACCATACGACCAGGATATTGCTATGCACTCGAAGAACATGATGAAGAGCAAGCACGTGCCGCTTGCGAGTAGTAGTCGAAGATCTTGAACATGTACATCCTCCTTGCCATGAAAAGAACGGCGGAAATGTCACGCATGAATGCCGATAGCGAGCGCATTTCGTCGTATGTCCTCTCTACGTTTACCTACGATTTCGACACGCCCATTTTTAGCGCGGGGTTGTAATTTCGTAACTTCAAAAGATTATACGCGCTTGTGATCGAGTCACTTTGGAAGATTCCCAGCCGGTGTGGCACTACTGAAGTTGCCACTGTGCCTGCGTGTATGTTAGAAAATGATTTCTCCTCGTTCTTCTTCTTTGTGGTTTTATTCCTTCCTCTCGTCTCTCGCTCTTTCTCTCTCTCTCTCTCTTCTCTCGTCTCTCTCTCGCTTCTCTCTTTCTCTCTCTCTCTCTATCTCTCTCTCTCTCTCTCTTTCTCTATCTATCTCTCTTGGGAAGTGTTACCAGACTTGACAATCGGGGACCCACCTTCCCGCGGGAGCATGACCGCATACGATGGACATTTATATACGTAGTCTATCGTCTATAGTTAGTCTGCGAGTTAGCCTATATTGCGTCAAGAGTTCTGACGCGAGTTTAACGCGCGACGTCATCAGTAGCGTTCATCATCACTGCGTCAGGCAGCGAGAGGCCGATGAGATAGGAGATCCCGCAGATGAAGGCGATGAAGAGTTCTCGTCTGGGTCGCAGTTGACGCGGGAACTCGTCCACAAGCGCCGTGATGAATCCCTCAGCGTGCAGAACTGCGTGACGACGAGATAAGCAAACCGTGAAATCACCGCGTGACGTAAGCGAGAGTCACGGTGTGTAGCGAACGTGATTCACGCGAATATCGCGCCGTGACCAAGAACGAATTCGCGCGTGAAGTGAATGTAAGTGGCGCGTATATCACGCGTACATAAACAGTGAATCACGCGAAAGGAAGCGTGAATAGCGCTTAAAGTGATTGTGGATTACGCGGAAAAGAGCGTGACTCACGTCTTATTAAGTCGTTATCGTCAATTAAAGTACACGTGAACCGTGAATCACGTGCCAAGTCGACGTACAATACACGTAAACGTCCGTGAAACGCGCGTGTAGCGGTCCATGTAACGCGCGTGTAGCGTCCGTGAAACGACGTGTAGCGTTCTGTAAAACGCGTGTAGCGTCGGAAACACGCGTGTAGCGTCCGTGTAACGCGCGTGTAGCGTCCGTGAAACGCGCGTGTAAGCGTCTCTGTAAAACACGCGTGTAGCGGTCCGTGAAACGCGCGTGTAGCGTCCGTTGAAACACGCGTGTAGCGTCCGCTGAAACACGCGTGTAGCGGTCGTTAAACGCGCGTGTAGCGTCCGTTAAACGCGCGTGGAGCGTCGTGAACGCGCGTGTAGCGGTCCGTGAAACGCGCGTGTAGCGTCCGTGTAAACGCGGTGGCGTTATCACGCGTGTAGCGTCCGTGAAACATGCAGCGATGAAGCAGACGACATCGTAGAGAACAGCGTGGCTGCCTGTCCGTATTACAATTAATTGCATGCACGCTCGATCAAGCTATTACCGAACGCCAGACGCCATAATTCATAATCCATTCATTCGTAATTATCGTTATCGATAATTCTCCGCCATAATTCATCCCCACCACCCACCATGCGAAAAAAGCAGCCCTGGAGTTACTAAGACATACGACGAACATGCATGGCACACGTACGCATATGTACTTATATATATTATATATATATATATATATATAGTCAAATGTTGTTTATAAACTCGTGTATCGAGAAGTGCTCAATACTACCATGAGTAGAGCAAATATAGATAAAGTTAAAGGACATGGTTGTTTGCACTCTGTATTAGGCACTGATGAGTGTGGAGGCTTGCGCTCCATACGAAAAACAGCTCTGTATGCAATAAACAGAGGCAAAAGTACAACCATGTCCTTATAACTTTATCTATATATATATATATAATATATATATATAATACATATATATATATATATATATATATATATACTATGTATATATAATATATATATATATATAATATATGCATACGTGTGCCATGCACGTACGTCATATCTTAGTAACTTCATGGCTGCTGTTCGCATGGTGGGGATGAATTATGTCGGAGAATATATATATATAATTATATTTATTTATTTATTTATTTATTTATTTATTTATTTATATATATAATCGCGATGATCTTATATGAGTATATCTAACCTCACGAGTGTCTCTTACCTGACTGTCCAGCCCTATCAGCACTAGCATAGAAAAGAAGCAGATTGACCGAAAGATGACCACGGCATAGCGATCATGGCCGAAGGATAGGCGAGGAATGCCAGGCCTGGTCCTGTTAGAGATGACAAGATGGGACAATGAAGACGCGGCTACGATGAATATATCATGTAGTCAGTAGCAGTAGAGGTAAGTTAATTTGAAACTTTCGTTTTTAATTACGCGCGAATGTTGTTAGTTATTATGCAACACATGACACTGCGAGACGTTATATTATATTTGATTGATTTCGTAGTTAATCACGTCGCGTGCATGTGCGCTTACCCGCACACACACACACACACACACACACACACACACACACACACCACACACACACACCACACACACACAACACACATATATATATATATATATATATATACTTGGTGTCTCACCAGATTCTGCCACCTTGGCGATGGGCTTGCCCTGTTCGTGAGCCATGTAGCCGATGACGCTGAAGATGACGAATCCGGCGAAGATGCTGGTGCCGCTATTGACGCACGACACGATCAACGAGTCCCTGCGTCATATACATACCAAGCTGTTATATATATATCTGCGTCATATACAGAGCAAGCGGTTATATACGTCCCTGCGTCATATACATAGTAAGCTGTTATATACATTACTGTGTCACACACACACACACACACACACACACACACACACACACACACACAACACACACACACACACACACACACACACCACACACACACACACCACACCACACACACACACACACACACGCACGCACGCACGCACACACACACACACACACACACACACACACCACACACACACACACACACAGATATAT